ATTCTAAATTGCCCACAGGTGTGAATGTGAGTGCGAATGGTTGTCTGTCTCTCTGTGTTAACCCTGCATCAGACTGGCAGTCTGTACAGGGTGTACCTTGCCTCTCACCCTGTGGTAGCTTGGATAGGCTCCAGTCCTCTGCAAAGTGTAAGAGAATGGAGGGATAGTCATGTGGCACTGAGAGTACCATTCCCCTGGCAACCACCAGACTCCTTCATCAGATTGCCAAACAGACAAGTATGATTCTTCACTCCAGAGAACACGTCTCCATTGCTCTAATGTCCAGTGCCGGCGTGCTTTACACTACTGCATGTGATGCTTTGGATTGCACAGTGATCGAATTCTTGGATGCAGCTGCTCAGCCATGGAAACCCATTCTATGAAGCTCTCTACACACTACTCGTGATCAAATCAGGAAGGCCAAATGAAGTTTAGAGAAAGTTGGCACCCTCTATGCAATATGTGCCATCTGCTGACCCTGCTCTGGCCTACCCCTCTGTGGCAGAGTTGACGTCTTTGTTATGAAACCAGTAACAGTTAACTGTTGCACAAATGGCATCCTATCATGGCAGCCATGCAGGAATTCACTGTGCCCCTGAGAGTGACCCTGTCATGGTCTGGCAGTTATGTTTTTTCTATCTTCATTGTCAAGGCTCCCCTCCCGGTCCCCGGCTGCCTCCTTTATGTGTATGTGTTTTTGAGTGTGTGCGTGTGTTTCCAGAGTGGTGGTTTACGCGCATCATCAGGCCGGAAGGTTATATATATGAAGAGCTGGAGTTTTCACCATTCACACAACGGTCCACGAGCACTGTGTGGGAGTCAGGAGCGCCACAACGGAAGCCACGCGTTTTGAAAATTGTCACATTACTATCACTATTCAACTATCTTCACTATAAATAAAGTCACTCTCTCTTTTGGAAAGTCCTGCATTTGGGTCCCGTTCTTGGCCTGAACCTCACAGACCCATTCTTTCATTCTTTGTAGAAGCAGTCGACATGCCTGTGTACTTGATTTTATACACCTGTGGCCATGGAAGTGATTGGAACACCTGAATTCAATGATTTGGATGGATGAGTGAATACTTTTGGCAATATTTTGGGAAATGCTCTGTATATTCCAAATTCTTTTCATGATGACTACAGTTTTATGTTGCACCTTTTTATTTGTAATTTTGGGAAATTGCAGTTTAAAGTATGATTTGTGGCAATCTTCAAGCCCAGAATTACAGTGACTTCTAATTACTGTAAGGCGCAGACTTTTTACTTAATATAATTATTCATCCTGACCTGTGTTTCTTGTAGTCATTCAGCTTCTTGTTGATGAGAGCCTGTCTTGAGAAACCAATCTCCTATAAAGAATGAAAGCCACAAATTAGTTTGGTGTATGTGTTTGTGCAGCCAGTGCAAACTAACAAAATATTATTCATACCTCGTTATCTGTTTTGCTATTCTCCCTAATAACCTTGATCCATGCCAGCATGTCATCGTTATCCTCGGCCTGAAGCAGGTACTCGCAGAAATCCTGCGTGGTCAACCTCAAGGTGTGTTTCCGCTTGGTTTCACTGTAGGCAATGTCAATCAAGCAGCAGCGGATGCTGATTGGACAATGTTCAACCTGACCGGGTCCTGCTCCTGCCCCGTGAATCACTGCATCTCGCTTGTCTTTGTAAAGGAAGAGTGATTGGGAGCGGAGAACGGAGAAGGCGCGTCTCCACGGTCGCATGCTCCCACCAACTTTCTGTCATGAAGAAAGATGAAGAGAAGGCATAACCTTAAAAAAAAATGTACCGTTTAGCAACTGAAACTACCTGATTGGCTCGCTGAAACTCATTTCTTCACATGACACTGGAAGGTGTGTGTCATATTTTAAAGAACTTAAACATTTAGCCAGAGTTCTTTGCCTGATGCTGGTTTGGCAACATAAAGATGACCTATACAGTATTGCACAGAGTTTTGTTTTGATGCTGTGTCTGATAGGTGTATTAATATATTTATTATCACAGGCAAATACCAAATCAGGATGCACCGTTCAACAGCAAATCTCACAATACAATTATGCTTACTTGAGGGTATATGGAAATTTGCCCAACCAACTTGAAGGAGGCATTTGAAGAGGTGTGTGCGTGTGTGTGTGTGTGTGTGTTGGTCCATTTGGTGTAACAACTGCAATGAAAATTTAGTTTGCGTTGTTTTCAATAATTGAAAACTCATTCCTGGTGGGTGTTTGTTGGTCTTTTCCAGGGCCGATAACGTTTATGTCTTTTGTGGAAAGACTTTCTAGGTGTAGCCAGGAGACAGGTGTTTTCTTTGGTGATCTCAGAAACCCCTCTCTCCTTTTCAGCAAACACTAAGTGGAAAGTCGGAATAAGTGTCCTTACATAAGAGCTGGCCATCTCTTTTTAGTTTACTAACACCTGGACACGGACAAGCATTAGAAAAGACATCCTGCATAAATGCAGACAGTGGGGTTTTTTCTTCTTCTTTTATTTTTACCTTTCCCTTCTCTGTCAGAATCTGTTTGTAGTGCAGCCAGCCCTCCTTGTGAACATCACTGAAGGTGATGATACCCAGCTCAGAGGTGGAGTGGCGCTTGGATCGGGCGTCCTCTTGGGCTTGCAGACTTTCCAAAGACTGAAACACATTGTGGAGGTATTATGTTTCGATCTAACAAAACTGGTCCATCTTCAAAAAGCAGGACGTGGAGACTTTCACTCAGTCTGGCCTTTTCTACATTAAGTGTTGTGTGGAGAATCTGACAGTGACAGAAAAACTATCTGGGTTTTTCCTAACCAAAAACCTTGGATGATGAGTGAAGTGCAGGCTCTGATAAGAACTCTTAACTTTGCCTTCAAGCTTAGGGACAGTTCTCTGTGCAGCACTGCCAGAGCCAAACTGAGTAGAGACATCAAACAAGCCAAGGAGGCCTACAGGAGGAGGATACAGGACCTCCTCACTTATAATAACCTCTAGTATCCAAGCCCTCACCAACTACAAAGGCCAGAGCCCCCCAACCCGTAACAGCGGCCACAAACTCACAAAGGAGCTCAACACCTTCTTCACTCGGTTTCTTTGCCCCCCCCACCCCCCACTCAAAAACTCAATTGTTACACCTGGTAGAGCAGAACGCTGATCATTTTATTAAAGATGAAAGACTTTAGACAGTTTTTCAACTCTCAGTAATGCCATAGTGATCGTTTGATATATGGACCTGCAGCACAGTTTAGGCCCAGACACGGCTAGTGACGTCAGACTTAACAACCGGATAGCTCAGCATTCAACACCATAATCCTAGACATCCTCACCACCAAACTGAACCATCTTCAGATCGCCCCCTGCTACCTGCTCCTGGATCAAAGACTTCCTCACCAACCAGCCTCAATAACTCCATTTCTGGGAACCCACATCTCTGCTGATCTCACCTGGACTCACAACACCAACACCCCGTAAAGAATGCCTACCCTCAGCCATTGCCAGATCCTCCTGTCTCAGGAAAACCAGAGCCATTGCACCCCGCTCAACACCTGTTTGACCCACTTCCCTCTGGTTGGCACCACAGGTCAATCAGGTCCAACACCTTCAGTCTAACAAACAGCTTCTTCCCCTGGGCCATTTGGACTGTTGACAAACC